CCCCCCCCCCCCCCAATCCAATCCAAACCTATCAATATTTGACCTCAATCTACTCAGAGCTCGAACAATTTACCTGATAAAATGTAAACCAAATTTATCTTTATACAGGTTCTAGCAACGAAGCTCAAAGTTTGGAACCGTCGGAGGCAATCTCCTCAGAAGACGAGTCAAGAGAAACTCTAGTCCGTACACTGCAAAACGAGCTAGGAGGTAAACACCAATTATTGGTTTATTCACACATACACTTGGCTTAGACAATAGAATTAATTAACATTAACATTAATCAATTGCAATTACACCACTGCATCGCAAATAGTTTAATAAACAAAGGTCAAAATACCCTTTAATTAAATGTTCCGAGTCATAACTCAAGGCTTGACATTTGCCTTAGTTTTTCTTCAGTCCAGCTTGCAAATCTCACAATCTCAAATATCTTTCTAGGCCATGTAGTTAACGCTCAGGGAGAGAAAAGAAGATCTGTAGAGGAACTGACTCCGGCGATCCGCCCTAAACAGCCAAGATTAGTGACAAGATCACAGCCTATGCCAAGAGCAGAGCCTTCTCGTAGCTCTCCTAACCCTCGAAGGTATAATATTCAAATTCCTTAGAAACACCAAACAAAGCTCTAGACTAAATTTAAATCTTGAGATTTGACCTTCTTTTTAATGTTTATGTCCGACTTTGAATTTAATTTTAAACTCAAAACAAAACAACTTAAATCAAAGTTAAAGGAAATGCCTAAACAAAACACTCATAGAGAGTCCAAAAAGTCTAATCTTTGACTTTCTATTTTAAGTTTATCTTAGAATTTAATTTATTCTTATTTTTGACTACCCAATTTTGTTTAATTTAATATTGAGATTTGAATTCAAAGTTAAGCGCGAATTAAGTTAAATCTAATTTTAACTAATTGTTCAGGCAAATTTGACCTACTCTGGTTATTACCGAACTGGCCCAAGAAGACGTTGAAATGCAAGAAGAGACAAATTTCTCAATGCTCGAGGATACTCTACCCGATGATGCAAGGATGTTGTCCCACAAGAAGGACAAGATAAACAAAATGAGCTGGGAGGGTGTGATGAAGCTGGTAGAATTGAGACGGAAACGCCCCAGCTCGGCGAGAACACAGCCTTATTCAGCAGGGATCTGGCACCAAAAACAATATCGTTTGGGAAACAAGACGACGATGGAGTCAGAACACTTCATGAAGCAAGGTTCCTGAGACTCCCACTATCGAACCTGCCTGACAGGTGGAAGAACGTTCCTATAACACGCCCCCACTTATACAAGAATGTTCCGTTGAAGTTCATGGGAGCGCATAACATGATTGCAGATAAAACCATAGGGAATCTTCACGATCGAGCCAAGCCGCAAACCCTTAAGAATTTTTTCTCACAGAACGTTTGTGTTGCGGCAAAACCAGTCCGAAGGATCGAAAGGAAAGGTTCGGAGGGTTTAGAAATGGTGTATGATTATGCTTGGGAGGACCCTTGTACCCTGGCTGAAGTAACAGATTCAATCTTAAACTACATAACCATACTTCACCAACTCTGGCCCCTAGACCCAACAGGAACCATGATGCTAAGAGTGATTAATAAGTATAAGTGGATCAGCGTGGCCTCGGACTTGAAGGATAAAGTCTCGGTGATAACTGCCTTCTTCAATGCGGTTTTGCAAGACAATTCTGGTCGGTCAGTTCGTGAAGAAACAATCCTGAGCTTTAAGGAGCAGGAAGAGTTGATGAAGATGTCTCTTATTGCCCACAACCTTCCCAACACAGTACCTACAGGCAGGATCCAGAGGCATGACCAGGACCATTTCAACAGGGGGAAAGGGAAATCTATGAACCCTAATAGTTCCCGTGCTAACCACAACTACAACGGTTCTAACAACTCCAACAACAGCCGGAACAATGGCAACAGGTACAGCTCCGTCAACAACAGCAACAGCAGGAGGGGCAACAGCTCCAGCTCCAGACCGAGAGCTACCTAGGAGTGTGTTATGCCTATAACAACGATAATTGCAAGAACCCGTCCTCTCAGCACGGTTGCAAAAACGGATCCCGGGATTTAGCCCACGTTTGCAACGTATGGGTCGAGGCGCAAAAAGCGTTCTGCCTGGCCAGCCATCCACGCAGTAAACATTAACAGATTGTACCCTCAGCTGACGGTCAAATGTCAATTGCTTATCCGGCTTAACTTATATGTAATTGCACTTAAACCGAATTAATGCTTTTATCGTTGTACTATGCTATTTATTTAACCACAACTTTTCTTACCGGATATTAATCTAGCAATTTACTAATTTCTCGTATACAACTAGTGAAACTTCTAGTCTTGAATAATTGGCATAACTTTAGCGGGAATTTATGTAATAATTTGCTAGTTAACAAAGATATTACAATTTAACTTACATGTAATTCTGTTTAAACCACGCTTTATTCACTTATTTATGCATTAATTTATTTATTTAAACCACAATTTTTGCTTGATAATAAATGAATGTTTTACTGATTTCTCGTCTACAGTTAATTAAATGCTATTTTTAAAGAGCGGAAGATATTGATATCCATAATGGGAACTTCTAAAGCGCAAAGCGTTATTTATAATAAATGAATGTTTTACTAATTTTCTCGTCTACAGTTGATTAAAATGCTATTTTTAAAGAGCGGAAGATAATGATATCCATAATGGGAACTTCTAAAGCGCAAAGCGTTATTTATCATGCAACAGTTATGCTGTTTATCTATGTTAAAAGGGGAATCCCTTATTCATGATATCTATAGTGAGTATTACTTAGGCCAAGGATATAAGCTTAAAATGAATCTTTACTAAGTTCCCCTCTACAATTATGAAATGCTGTTATGAAGAATGGAATATTACTTTGGCCAAAGATAAATGCTTAGATTTCATGGCAGACTCCAGGTAACCAATACTACAAGTTTGTATTTGGAAATTTTATTTAGTATAATGGAGTCCACAATGAGTCATTTTTATGTATTAATATTAATTGCAATTAATTGCAAACATACAAACTACACGAGTTTGAGAAAATGACATCAATTAACCAGTTATTATTAAAGAGGGCGGTTCCACTGAGCTTTAACTAATTTATATTAACAATGACGTGATTAGGGGAAGGCAACACTAACGAAAGGTCTAACACATCAAACTTGAATAAGGTTTTAATGAAGGATAAAATGAGTTAGAATGTCGTCTTCCTGTCCCAAATGTTGCGATATGTTTGGGGGGGCAAGCTGTCCCGCGAAACTTAACTTAAAGTGTCATATCCATTATTTGTTCAGTTGTTTGACACCAAAGATCACTGGAAATATTACATGAGATTTGTTTAAAACAAAATAACTATTTCTAAATGTCTCCCTTCGTGGGACACCCTGTCTGACCCTCCATTAGTTCATTCAATTGAATGATAGCATAAATTTAAATGTCATCTACCTATTCTAAATGATGCAAAGATAAAATTTTATTTGCGTAATTAATTAACTACGGCATCTGGGGAGTGCGGTAAAAACGACGATTTACGTAGATCTGATCCTGCATTAGTCCAGCCAATGTGTCCACAACTGTACAGTCGAACAAGAAAGAAGGCGATTATTGAAATAAAGCGTGGCTTTGGAAATAATTCTATGCGCTATCAGCGTTTATTCTTTACGAATAAAATTATTTCAGTTTCCGTTAATTTGGGTGAGTTTCTCCGAGTAATTTTTAGGCCCCCCCCCTTTATGTTCACATTCATCGAACACAGTTGGGTTGCGCTAGGTTTCAGTCAAGTGATACTTGATACATTCGCTCTTTGGTGTCAGCGATGGTCAAAAACTGCAAATTTGAACATTCCGGATCTTCCTCCAAACAAAGTATTCAAGCCAAAATTTAACCTACCAAGATTGGATCACTATAACTCTACCTTCCCAAGCTGGTTCTGGGCCCAGGCTCCCTCCAACTACGTAGCTCCGGCGGTTTCTCTAGTTGACCCTCATAAATTGAACTCTTTAGCCCGATTCTACGGTTTCTACGACCTAGATTTGTTGGAGAAAGTTTGCTCCGACTTGAGATCGGGTGCGGTCATAGGTTGCAAAGGGGATTTTAGAAACCCTTCCCGCGCTACGAACGCACCCAGTGCATACGAGAATGGTGCGCAAGTAACTGATGCAATTTGCGACTGGTTAGCGAAAGGGTTTGCATACGGACCCGTCCACCTCTCTGAAGTCCCCCCAGCAGCAAAGTTCAGCGGCATAATGACAAGGCCAAAACCAAATGGTTCAGTTCGGATCATCCTAAATCTTAGCTCACCTTTAGGCTGCGCCGTGAATGAGGGGATTGACAACGCAGATTTCCCTACAAAATCAGGAGAAAATGTGAAAAACTTAACATCTGGGGAAAAATGTGAAAAACTTAACATCTGGGAAAAAAATGTGAAAAACTAAACATCAGGAGAAAATGTGAAAAACTTAACATCTGGGGAAAAATGTGAAAAACATTATATCTGGGGAAAAATGTGATAAAACTAAGCATCTGGGAAAAATAACTTTCAAAAGAGGGAAGGGATATGAAATTTCATAACATACCCCTGTTTTCGCAGATTTTATAACTTTAGTTGTCTAAGATGATAAAATAACATTATTTGAGAAATTTAATATTACTTGATCTAAATTTTAATAAAAAGACCCCCTTAATATGGTATTGAATGTTGATTCTCAGGACTCCTCTCGGAGTATACGGAAATCTCTACGAAAATTTTAATAAAAATTCCCTAATATTCAAAAAACCAATTTTCTAATGTTCAGATAATCAAACAATTAAATTGAAATATTATGTGAATTGTTTCAAAAAAGTAAACGATCTCTCTGAACTTGGACTTTGCGCATTGAATACTAAAATGATTTGAGAATATAAAAATGCCTGAAATTTGATACTCTTGGCTCGACAGTTTAGACACTGGGTAGTCTGCTTCGTAAGACCGTAGAACAACTAAAATTTTGAATAAATAAATGCTTAACGCTGAGTGTTGCGAAATATTTAAGAATTTTCTTATACTTAAATATTTCAGAACAACTAGTTTTTTTTACTAAAAAGTTTTTTGCTTATAATTTGATAATCATCAAGGGAATTTTCCGATTTTCTGAACTCGGTGCTTCAAAACTAAGATAGAAATTTAATAACTTTTCTTACAGTCTACCCAAATTCTAAACAAATACTGTTGTTACAACAAAGAAATATTTCATTACCTGTACTATAATACTCTGATTACGATCAAGGAAAGCTTTCCAGAATTTTCGGCAAGCCTAAAAAAATTAATATATAATCATATTTATAAGCTGAAACCGGGGCAATTACAAACTGGCTTTAAGCTGTTTTTCAGAAATTCTGATTTCCTCGCTTAGTTTTTAACAATTTGATCTTATACCCGATATCCATGCTACTGCTCAGTTAAATAATGACTCTGCTCTCTTTAACAATATCTCTCGCCCTTTTAACAATATCCTTGCCTTTGTAAACAATAACTCTGCCTTTGTAAGCAATAACTCTGCCTTTGTAAACAATACCTCTGTCTTTGAAAACAATAGCTCTGCCTTTGTAAACAATCACTCTATCTTCGTAAACAATAACTCTGCCTTTGTAAACAATAGCTCTGCCTTTGTAAACAATACCTCTGCCTTTGTAAACAATACCTCTGCCTTTGTAAACAAAGACTCCGCCTTTGTAAACGGTACCTCTGCCTTTGTAAACAATACCTCTGCCTTTGTAAACAATACCTCTGCATTTGTAAACAATATTTTTGTCTTTGCCCCTGTAATGAACAATTCTTCCACCTTAAATGATATCTCATGGAGCAGCCCTTGTATAAACAACCTCTGCCCTCCTTATTACCTGCACCACTTGAAAAAACGCTTCTACCATCTTATCACCTCTGCCAATATAATACCACCTCTGTCCATTGATTAAAACCTCTCGCCTCTTTAAATTACACAACTCCCTTGCAAACAATAATACTACCCTTAAAAAAATACCACAGGGGGCTTCTACGTTAATAATACTTCTACCTCCTTAAATAATACCTCTCTCTGCTCTAGTTAACAAGACCTCTTCCCCCACAAATACTACCTCTGCCTCTGGAATAGTGGTGTTATCTATTTCCGGCATCTTAGAGGGACGCTGAACTCTATTCGTGTCTTCATGAAGCCATTCAAGAAGTTTACAGGCAAACTCATGAGAATCCTAAAATAAACTCATTAGAATCCTGTAATAAACTCATGAGAATCCTGTAAGAAACTCATGAGAATCCTATAATAAACACACGAGAATCCTGTAATAAACTCATAAGATTCCTATAATAAACTGTTGAGAATCCTATAATAAACTCATGAGAATCCTGTAAAAACTCATTAGAATCCTATAATAAACTGATGAGAATCCTGTGATAAACTCATGAAAATCCTATAATAATCTCTTGAGATATACTCCTATAATAAACTTATGAGAATCCTATGATGAACTCATTAGAATCCTATAATAAACACACGAGAATCCTGTAATAAACTCATAAGATTCCTATAATAAACTGTTGAGAATCCTATAAAAAACTCATGAGATTCCATGATAAACTGTTGAGAATCCTATAATAAACTCATAAGAATCCTGTAATAAACTCATGAAAATCCTATAATAAACTCTTGAGATATATTCCTATAATAAACTTATGAGAATCCTATGATGAACTCATGATAATCCTATGATGAACGCATCATAAGTAAATCATTTTAAATTTAATAAAAAATGATTAAAAACCTTTTTTACGTAACAACATCACTAAGAAGTTTTTATCAAAAAATAACATGAACTAAGTATCAATCATTATGATCAAAAAGATGAAAAATCTATTCAATAAGCTTCCAAAAACAGTTTAAATAAAAAGTAACCATTAACAAGACTCTATTTTCCGGGGGATAGGCTTGTAAAACTCTACCTGTTGGTCCCGGCCGGCAAACTCCACCTTAATCCTGCCCACTGCCTCCTTGATGTCCGCCGGACTGATAAACTTGAACTGGTTGGACCACAGGGACTGCATCAGGGCAGCAAACTCGTATGCAACCTAGGACCAAACTTTATGAATAGGTAGAAGCAGGGTTGTATATAATTCCAATTTTTTTATTCTTTCCCCCCTCAAATTTTGTTTAATTTCCTTCCCTAAATTCTAGAACTAAAAAGACATCATTCTTTAATATTTATATTGCAGTGCATAAAAATCCCTAAAAGGACGCATTTTAAAAAGAATAAATGATGCCGCAGACATTTAAAAAAGTTAGGATTAATTATTTGTCAGTCCAAGAGTATATATTGTTTCTTGGAATTCATTATCCATCATTTTTCTTGGGGGGAGAATTTGTGAATTTTTTAGTAGGTTTGAATAGTTGGAAAAATTATTAAGTAATTATTATTCTTTCATCATATTTGTTATGAAGTTTAACACGTTTTTTATACACCCCTGGGAAGAAGTGCTTAAACCGCTTGAAATGAATAATTATGTGTTAATAATTACCAGAACTTGGATTTTTTCCTTAAAATTTAAACTCGACTGTAAACTTAATTTCAAGTGTCCCTCGAGCCCGACAACAGTTTACTATATTGTTATTAAATTCTCACAAAACAATTAAATTTCAGAGAAAAAAACAAACAAAGATTTTAACCTATTATCAGACAAAGGTTTGAATGGCTACCGTTGTAAATCGAACTTTATAAATGAAGGGGCACTCTTCAGTCTCCAGTCGTTTTGACAACGTACTGTTGTTAATATTTTTATATCTCTTTAAAAAAGTAAAAAAAGTGATTTTCTTAAAATAAAACTTGTATGTGGGGGAGGGGAGTCATTTGATGCCTTCCTTAACGTTATGAAAACCCCTGCTTTAAAGGCAAAAAAGAACTCACCAATCCTCTTGTCTCGCTGTATTTATTAACGTCCTCCTGGTAGCGCCCAGATTCAAAATATTGGGAGAGTGGGAGAGTGTGGGACACACACTGCAATATGCTGTTCATATAGCAGGTATTCCCGAGGTTCCTTCATCAAAAACTCGTTTCAAGAAATTTTTTTAAAATAAACAAAATTAGCCGAAGCTGGAAACGTTAGTATTGTGGATATCGAGATCAATGCTTGATCTCTTCTTTTTGTTAATCTTAAGATTTTTTAAATTTTCAGTTTGTATCCAGGAAAGTATCTTTATCAACCAATCAGAGTGGCATATGCAGAATCCTGAACAGCCAATCAGAAGCCGGAAAATTAAAAATTTTGCTCACTATTTAATGGGAAAACTTTTATTGGTAGGGATTGGATGTAAGATGTATTTTAGGGATATATTCGCTATATTGGGGGAGGAAAAAAGGACTTTAAGAGAGAAAATGAATTTTTGCTTGTAAGATGAAAACTTCAAATTCTGATTATTTTCAATCAGAGCATTGAAAATCATCCCACCGCACCGAATAAAAATTAACATCAGTTTGTAAAAATCCAGACTAAGAACGCATAAAAAATCCATTAAATAGCGGACATTCATCTACGAAGCCAGGCTTGATAAGGCTCATAGAACCTAACGTTTAGAAATAAATAAAATAATATGAAACAATTGATTTTTTAGTTCAAGAACAATAAAAAACAATTGTCTTTCTTTTATAAAAAGATAACCTTTAAACTAGTGATGAGGATCCGGATCTAGGTTATTTCTTTAAGATTTACTGATTTTTTTGACAAAAAAATAATGATCAAATTTTTTGTTTGATTTTTTTTCGCTTATCTTTATCCGAAAACTTCATGAACAATTCAGAAATAAGGAAATTTTTAGTATCTCTTTTGTCAAAAGTTCAGAATTGGGTTTTAGGAGTAAATTTTTTTTTTGACGTTTTTGGTTGATATTTATCCCTTAGATCCAGATTCGTGGATTCGCATATTTTTCCGGATCCGGATCCAGGAAGCCAAAATCTTGCGGATCCAACGGATCCGGATCCTAAGCACTGCTTTAAACCTTCTGTCAAAGAACTGCAAATACAAAAGCTACTCTGTTGCAACTTATCTAAAACTCCAATTCTATTTGTTTACGCTATTAATTAAAAAGGTATTCTTACCTAAGTCCCGTAAGTCCTGGTTTAGTTGTAGTTCCCCAAACTCCGGCGAAATCCCGCTTGACAATATCACTCGGCTTCTGCGCTCGGTCAAACTTCGGAAACTTGGGCGTAGAGATCCCTGGACTTTTATCCTCGTTCGGTCCTTTCTCCAACATCCGGGCAATATTAGGACTTGAGTAGGACCGACGCATACCTGATAAAAATAAAATAATGTTTGGTTTCGTTGTTAACCTGTATAGTGTATAGTTATTCCATGTTCATTGTTGATGTAAAATTTATGAGTTTTCGATTAGTACAATTGCGCATTTTACTAGATCGAGAGTGTAACAAACTATATTAAACCCTTCTCTATTATTCAAATTAAATTCGGACTCTGCGCTGAAAACTTTAGAATGGTGGATATCGAGATCAATGCTTGATCCTCTCTTTTTGCTAATCTCAAGACTAGTTTAGTTCTGAGATTAATTTCTAGAGATTAGGGATGCAATCTTTAACTTTTGAAAACCCGGTATTTAATATGTGGTGTCATATCAATTGGGATAATAACCGATTGACGAACTTAAGTTTTGGATTAATGTTTATTAAAACTAACGTGTGTGTTTAAAAAGTTTATGTTAACACACTTAAATTTTTTATTTGTTTAAATGCTCTAAAAGATGGCTTGCGAACAGCTGACTTTAGTTTAATCGGCTATTTAGTCCAATCGATATAGCATTGTATTTGTAATTGTTATCAAACGTAACTTTTATACAGTAGGGGTATCCAAAAGAGAGGAACAGAAATTAAAAGTGTCCTCATTGGATATTCTGATTAAGCAGTCGGGATTAAAGGTATCCCTTCTAAAGTTCCCAGCTCAGGCCTCTTTAACAACTTAACAATTTAAGCTAATAATTAAAAACTCTTTCATTATTCTCAAGTTCACCGATGCTTATTCATGCTTACCACTGTTAGAACTAGAGCCCTCATCTTTTAACTTCTCTCTATACTCCTTCTCCTCCTGCCTTCTTCTGTTTCTAGCCTCTTCCCTTCTTCTCTCCTCTTCCATTCCCTTCTCCTCATCTCTTCTTCTTTGCTCCGCAGCTGCTTTCTTCCTTATTCTTCTCTTCTCTTCCACTTCTCTCTTTAGTTTGGCCGCTTCCTCTTCTTTAAAGCGCATTCTTCTTCTGTTCTCTTCTTCCTTTCTTCTTTCTTCCAGCCTTCTTGCCTCTCCGATCATCTCCTTTTCAGATTCCTTCTTCAGACGCAATCTAAAGTCAGAAGGTTTTGATTAGAAGAGAAAATGAAAATTGAGAAAAGAGAAATTATTCATTTAAATCTGTAATAAAAAAATAAAAAAAATAAAATAATAGATGAATTCGGTATTTAATAATGTATGTTGGATATATTTAGTACTTGATACATTCTGTACCCGATATATTATCAACTGGATATAGTCTGAAAACGGAATATTATTCTGAACAACTTTAGACTGTACTACTACTGTCCATTCTGTAGTATCTAAATTCTGGTCTGTAGTGTCTATTCTGGGTAATAGTGTCTACTCTAGCCAGTAGTTTCTACTGTCTAGTCTGTATTGTCCACTATATAGTCTGTATTGTCTACTGTCTAGTCTGTATTGTCTACTGTATAGTCTGTATTGTCTACTGTATAGTCTGTATTGTCTACCGTATAGTCTGAATTGTCTACTATCTAGTCTTGTCTACTGTCTAGTATTGTCTACTGTCTAGTCTGAATTGTCTAGTCTGTATTGTCTACTGTCTAGTTTATACCTAAGTTTATCTATTTCTTGAACTAGTTCCATCTCACGCTTGTCCTTCTCCAGGTTCTTTGCAGTCAACTCCTCAATCTCCTCGAACAATCTGGTCAAATAAGCCAATCAATCAATGAGTCACTCAATCAACCAATCAATATTTCATCCGATCATTCAATTCAATTCGATCAACCAACCATCCAATCAATCAATCAATAAATCAACCAACCAATCAATCAATCAATCAACCAACCAATGACTCAATCAATCAATCGATAAATGATTAAATTCTCCCACTTGCCACAATATTTAGCATGGAAAAATAATAATTCGCTTCTTTTACTTTAAAGGTAATATAGGAAAAGGCAGCATTGTCAACATTGTGGAGGAAAAAAATATAAATTAGATGCAATTTAATGGTTTAAACTACACAATTTTTGATGCATATAATCTGCACATTGAAAACCATCTTTATTTAAATTTTTTTAAGCTTTTATTAAATTCAATATCATCTGAAAAGTTTGTTAAATGATTGATTTCTAGTTCCCTTTCGGCTTGTTGGTTGAGCGCCGCTTTCATCTCCTCGTTTGATGCATCCTCTCTAAAATATCATACTTGTAAATATATTTACATCAAAGATGCCCCTTGAATCCTCTCTAAAATATCATAATTGTACATCTATTCACATTAAAGGTTTTGGTGGGGGGTGGGTGGGGGGAGGGGGTTATATAATTAGTATTATTTAAGCAAATTCCACAAACTGCAGTGTTCAATTACAAAATGCAATGCTTCAGACTCTCAAAGTTGGAATAAGATTGTCAAAATTAAGGAACTACGATTGAAGAATGATTTTCAAACTTTATTGTAAATAAACCATCAATCAAACCAAAACCCGGGTTACGATTGATCCATCACTGACCATAATAAAATATTGGGATTTAAGTTTAGCAACAAAAATGTCTCCAAATCTCAACATCCAAGTTATTGATTCCGAACCTTGTTTTACAGAGTTTAGTCCACTCAAGTTCCTTCTCCAGATTATCCTTAGTCCTACTCACACTCAGCTCAGCTAGTTCTCCTTCAACCTCCAGCAGACCAGCCATATCGAGACCAGGCCTAATATTATCATTCACTTTATTAACATCAATACTGGAGTGTATATTTTTTCTAAAAATAATTTTAGTTATATTATATATATGCTTGCACGAAGCACAAAATTATAGGGTTTTATTCAGGAGAACAAATAAATTTTTGAGGTAAAAAGTATCAGAAAGAATAAAAAAAGTTGTCTTTTGATGTCCAGTTTTTCATTTTAATCCACCAAAATCATTAAAAATCAACCCCCCCCCCCCTGGGGCTGCCCCTTGAGTTGAGAAAATACTTACTTGACTCTGGAATACACTGCTTCAGCAACTTGTTTTAAAGATCGATCAACCTATAATCAACAATATTGTTCTTCCTAATAACTTAATTTTGTTTAATTTTTACATTTTTCTCAAATTAAAAACTTTGTATGAAATTATTTCTATATATTTCCAATTCTCTCAACATTATCTAATTTCGTTATTGACATTTCTTCATTATTATATTTATTTTTAATTTATCATTTTTATAAAAATTGAAGAAATACCATAACCTCAAAAACTAAGTAAACAATAGAGGAAAGTATAGAGTTATTGTGAACATTTAAAGTCACAATAACTTGTTAGATGCTCGAAATAATTTGATAGATAGACAGACAACAGCCGTACTGCGTTGTACAGTATTGTTTTGATTAAATACTTGATCCAAAATGTAAATGTAGAAAGAGGAAAGAATGAGGTAGGAAAGAGGAAAGAATGAGAGTGGAAAAAGGAAGAATGGGGTAGGAAAGAGGAAAGAATGAGGGTGGAAAGAAGGAAAAATGAAGGAGAAAAGAAGGAACAATGAAAAAGGAAAAAAGAAAGGAGAAAGAATATAAACAGGAGGAACGAAGAAAGAATAGAAAAGGAGGAAATAAGGATGCATAAAATAGGAAAGGACAAAGTGATAAAGAGAAAAGAAGGAAAAATAAAAGAGGTAAAAAGGAAGGATGAGGAAGGAAGGAAGGAAGAAAAAGAAAGATGAAGACGTATATTTGAGAGGAGAAAATAGGGGGTAAACATGTTTTAATTTGTTTGAAAAAGCTTGCAGCCCTAACTGTTCAGCGTACACTTTTTTGAGGTTTTCCTAAAGTTTGAATATTTGGTTTGTGAGGTTGTGGTATTCTTGCGAAAATTTCTGTTATCATATTATTGTCATCAACATATTGATATAATTATAATAATTCTAGTTTTGTTAAAACATTATAATGTCCCTTGCATACCTTGGGTTTAAAACTCTGCACTGAAAAATCGTCCGAGTCGGTCAAATTCGTCCCAAGTGTTGACGAATTTCGACCTCTCGAGAACGTAGAGGATGAAAACTCTGTTCCATTTGTTGAGCCAAGAATTGCTTTGTTTAAACTAAAAAGAGAAATGTTTAACAGTTAAATATCTAAACTTCAGCTAATCCGCAAATCAATTTTAAAAAGAGTGTTTTGATCCAGATCAAAATTTAGAGCCTGCTGGCACACTGCTGAAAATGGACCATCAGGTTTCAAGTCAAAACACCTTAAATTTTTCTTTAGAATATATTAATATGCAGTCTAATGAATTATAATCTCAATTTTCAGGAAATGCCATCTGGAAAATTTTGAGTAAATCCATTTTTAAGATATTGCAGAAATCAAGTGGCATTTTCAGGTTTAAAAAAACGTTCCTTTAGTTTCACGACTATATTAAGCTGATTCTGTTTTTTTGCGATATTTTTTTAACCGTAATGGCAGGGTCCCAAAATTTTGTGAGTTGTCCTTAACAGTCTTAAGACATGTTTTAGCAAAAATCAAAATTATAAGTGAACTGTATGACTGATTAAAAACTGCCTGAAAAGGGGGTTTGAAGTGAAATCCTGAACAATCACATCAAAAAGACTTTTTCAGGCATTATCTAGTCAGTCAGGCAGTTGAGTTAGGGCTTTGATGTTGTACTCAATATGTCTTATGGCTTTTAATCAAAAGTTACAAATTTGGGAACCTTGCCATTAACTGTTAAAAAAATATCGCAAAAAAACGCCAGCAAAAAGCATATTAAAGTCTTTTTAAGAAATTTACGTTTGATTTCAGATTTGTAAATACACTTATTTTCTGAGACATCTTAAAAATGGATCTGCGGAAAGTTCCCTAGATGGCATTTTCTGAAAATTGAGATGATAACTCAGAAGACTGCATATTAACATATTCTGAAGAAAAATTGTGGTTTGACTTGAAACCTGATGGTATATTTTCAGCAGTATGGTGGAAACTTTGTCTCTTCAAACATTTCAAGAACAAAAATATATTACTGAAAAAATCAAGTTTATAATAGGAAAATATGGAGAACATGAGAGTGTCATTCCCAACAGTACCCTTAACTCCTCTAATTTAAAAAACGAGGAAGATATCATCGTTTTTCTCTTTTGAAAAGTGTAATATTTCTGTAAGGTCACTTTTATTGAGAAACCACAATTCAATGAATTGTTTTAGCTGGATAAATAAGTATTTAAGGGCACCGTCGTGATTTGAGTATGCTACTTTACACATGGAGGATCAGATGAAATTATGTCTACAGTCCCTTTGGGTAAAATTTAATCAATTCATGATTTTAATAATGTTACCTGGCGGCGTTAAAATCATCTCTCGGGGCATTTGAACTTGAACTTTCGTCGAGGTCTTGTCCGTTTGACCGCGCCGGCTTCGTCCGTCGGTCAGGAATAAGTGGTGTGGATGTACTAGGATTAGAGTACACAGTACTTGGCGTGTACCCATCTAGGCTAGGATATTGTACTCGGGAGGATTTAGGCTCAAAGTTCGGAACCATTTTAGGGCTGGGTGAGGGGGTCTCGATGAAGCCCTAACAAAATATATAATTAATCTCTATCATACCAGTTGTATCAAACTCTAGACAGCCCATTTTTCTGAATGTTAAAAAATATAATATAGTTTCAAATTAAATTAGTCTCCCCCCCCCCCTTCTCTGTCGGTTTATTACCTGGTCCAATGAGTCTAGGTCTGGGAAGATGATATCTTCAAGTCTGAGAATATTTTTATTTCGGTCAACTTCTTGGAGAACTGGCATCTTGAACTGAACATTAAAGGGACTGTAAGCACTATTTTAAGTGACCCTCCATGCCAAGATGAAAATGCCCGATTTACAACGGTACCCTTGAAACCGTTGTCTGATTAAAAATATTAGATATCCATTTAAACTTTATATATTTTTATTTATGGTTTCTCTGTATAAGTGACTTGCTCATTTCTTGCTTGCCCCGAACACATTTTTAATTTAACTCACAATTAATTGTAAAAATGGAATTTTGAAAGCATTCATTTACGATCCCCCTCTTTCATCGAAAAACATAAGGTTTGCTTGGTTACAGTCCACACCCCGTCTTGATAAGTAAGATGGACAGGAGCGTCATCCAAATTTCTTTGAATGACGAAATGTCTTTAAATAAGAATAAGAATAAGAATAAGAATAAGAATAAGAATAAGAATAAGAATAAGAATAAGAATAAGAATAAGAATAAGAATAAGAATAAGAATAGCAATAGCAATAATAATAATAAAAATAACAAAAATTAAACAATCGACCAGTCGGCGGATTAAACATAAATTTGGTCCCCCATACACCCCCTGTAGAGTGAAATAGTGAAGAATAATAAACATACTGTTGGATCTGTGACTTGTAAAGGGTGTGCTAATCTAAACTTTTCATATCCTCCCTCTAGTAATACAGGAGCACACCTACAATATAAATACAACTTAGTTTACCATTAATATAATAATATTATATAAGACGTCGTTATGATTTGTATTTGAGTAGTTGGAACAGAAGTTTAAAAAAAATATTCTCCCTGTCAGAGTTAAAGGTTGCTAACCTTTATTCTCCCTGTCAGAATTAAAGGTTGCTAACCTTTATTCTCCCTGTCAAGAGTTAAAGGTTGCTAACCTTTATTCTCCCTGTCAGAATTAAAGCTTGCTAACCTTTATTCTCCCTGTCAGAGTTAAAGGTTGCTAACCTTTATTTTCCGGGTCAGAGTTAAAGCTTGCTAACCTTTATTCTCCCTGTCAGACTAAATGCTAAAGCTAACCTGTATTCTCCCTGTCAGACTAAATGCTAAAGCTAAACTAAATTCTCCCTGTCAGACTAAATGCTAAAGCTAACCTAAATTCTCCCTGGCAGACTAAATGCTAAAGCTAACCTATATTCTCCCTGGCAGACTAAATGCTAAATTCTCCCTGTCAGACTAAATGCTAAAGCTAACCTATATTCTCCCTGTCAGACTAAATGCTAAAGCTAACCTATATTCTCCCTGGCAGACTAAATGCTAAAGTTAACCTGTAAGTATTCTCCCTGTCCCAATCTGTGAGTGCAGTAAGAAGAGTGAAGGCCGGAGAACCAGGAATAAACTCCTTACTGTTCCAATCACATATAATCAGTTTATCCTACAAAACATAAAATAGTAAAAAGGGTATAAAAGTATTTGTTAAAGGAGTCGCAGGTTTTTAGGGAGTACTGGGGGGTTCCAGGAGTACTAGGGGTTCCAGAAGTACTGGGGGGTTCCAGGAGAACTAGGGGTTTCAGGAGAACTAGGGGTTCCAGGAGTAATAGGGGGTTCCAGGAGAACTAGGGGGTTCCAGAAGTACTTGGGGGTTCCAGGAGTAACTGAGGTGAGCTAAGAGTACCAGGAGAACCAACTACTAATTGTACTAAGAGTACCAGTTTTAGTAGTTCCAGGACAGAATTAAATATGAATACCAGGAGTACTAGGAGTACCAGGAGTACTAGGAATGCCAGGAAAAGGATGAATATAAATACCAGGTGTACTAGGAGTGCCGGTACAAGCATAAATATGAATATCAGGAGTACCAGGAGTACTAGGAGTGCCAGGACAAGGATAAATAATAAACATGAATACCAGGTGTACCAAGAGTGCCAGGACAAGGATAAATATGAATACCAGGAGTACTAGGAGTGCAAGGACTAGGATAAATAATAAATATGAATATCAGGAGTACCGATTATTCCAGGAACTGGAGGATTTGGAGAAAAAATATAAACACTTACATTAAAAGACAAATTAACATCCTTATTAATACTTTCCCCACAAAATTAATTGATTAACCCCTAAAAATCATTTAATGATTTATTTCATCAATTGAGCGAAGAAAATCCTAAAAAATCATACCTTACTTCTGGAGACAAAAACAATTTTTCAAGAATATGATAATCTTATGAGAAAAAAAATGTAATAATGGAAATTCTTAAACGAGATGAAATAATCTTGATGTATTCTTTAACATGCTGTATCTAAATGTAGTATTTACTTGACAAACAAGCAAATTCATTATATATTGGTAAACAAAAAACTAAACTATGGAAACAATCACACCACATGCATTACTTTCAAATTAAGAACCAATTTTTACATATTAAATGGTTTTAAACATTTTAACATTAGAAAAATAAAAAAAAACAGTGTTAGTCAGAACAAGAGCATAGAACTTATTTGCAACCTTTCATAATGTGAACTGTTCCAACTTGAAATAGTTGGATTTCACCAGAATTATTTTTTACTATCATTTCTTGGGTATGTGCCCATGGAACCTCACAAATATGATATAATAATAATCTTATGAGGATAAAAATGTAATAATGGAATTCTTAAACTCGATGAAATAATCTTGATGCATTCTTTAACTCAGGCCTGCGGCCTTCGTTAAAGAATACATCAAGATTATTTCATCTCGTTTAAGAATTTCCATTACTACATTTTTTTCCTCATAAGATTATCATAATATATATATACACCCCTGTATAAAACTTACCACCGTTGCTCTGCGCTCCCACTGGGTGCGCTCCTGTATTCGAATATTTCTTCCGATAGCGTGCGCAGTTACTCCTCGACTTCACGCAAAATTTAATAAATTAATTTTTTTAAAATCCCATTTACAGTATGAAATGTTTTAAAGCCACTAGCTTGTAATATATCTCCATTCTTTTTAATCTTTATAAACAAAAGGCTGTTTTCTAGCAATGACTTATTAAATTTTCCAAGTCTGTATTTAACATACAAAATCTAAATTAAAAAAAAATTATATCGTTCCTGAGAATTTCTTGCGGAACACTAAGAGAACTAGGATGGTTTATGTGTCCCTTGTGATAGTCCTGAAAAAAAAGTTTATAATGATTTTTCATGAAATTGATTTAACAGACAGCCTGAGGTCTGAATAAATAATTAGCGAGAAGTAGTTAAAACTAAAGAGAAGGATAGATGAAGAACTCCTATTGTGTGACCGAGCTTGAACTAGAAAGCAGTTAAACCTGCCATAACCAGTTCAACTACTTGATGCAAATATTCATAAAATCTATCCTCTGGTAGAAAGTAAGATAATTATATATCTCGACGAACCATCATTTTTGAAAAATATTTTAAGGAGAAGTAAAGTTAATAATTGTCCCTACAACCGAAAACAATTTTTCTGGGCGGAAAGGCGCCCCCCCCCCTTCTCCTCATACACCCCTCCACTTCCACCCCCCCCTTCTCTCTCCTCCCTAAGTGTTGAACCTTGAAAGTCGAACAAAACTTACAACAAAAAAAGTAAATTTTTTTAAAGATTTTTTTAAAGCGTTTTTTTTTACCTGTTCAGGACGAGTGTCAAGAATAAAAAACGAAGTTGATTTTTGTTTGATCAAACTGTCCAATTCCCTCACGCTCATGATATTCAACTAAAATACAGATTAGTTTAAAGGTACTGTATTCGTAAATTCAAGTGACTCTCCATGCAAAAATGGCAATGCCCGATTTACAAAGGTACCCTTTAAATCTGTACATCGAGGACAGAGAACTCCATGTTTATAACTCTTAAATATTGTTTCAATTCCCGTAAATCCGGAGTGTACGCTAGCGTATAGTGTAAAATCAACTCAATTCAAAAATTCGTTAGTAAATACTTAATTTCTGCAACTTATATTCAATATTCCTCAAATATAAACAGTTTTCAGAAAAGTGTTAAACAATTACAAGCGTTTTTTCAGATGAATAAGAATAAGCCCGACATCCTTGATGAATCAAAACTTGAAAGGGTACAGTTGTAAATCGAACACTCACCTCAAAAATTGGAGGAGTACTTCAATTTAAATAAATAAATCAACCGATAAATCATCCCCCGATTAACTAATCAATCAATCAATCAATCAATCAATCAATCACAAACTTAGTAACGGAATAAGTAATGAATGAAAGGATAAACAAATAAATAAACATTAAGGAATACTTCATGAAAAAAATGAATGGTTATGACAAGGATTTATTTCTACGAATAGTCTGAAAAAAAACTTACCTTTAATTCGCCATTTGCAATATTTTCCTTGTTCTTTTTTCTTTTATCATCAGTTATCTTGGTTTTTGCAAGCTCCTCATTTTCATCAGTCAATCGTCGTTTTGTCTCAGCGTTACTTAGTTTCTCATATTTTAGATCCAAACTATAAATTTTTAGAATTAGGGTGGGTCTACGGAATTTCAAGTGAACCTTTTAAATTTAGTGTTTCATCAACTTTCCGTTTACAATCGGTACTTAGGATCCATTACATTATGATGCGGATCCGGATCCAGATCCTTGGTCCAACTCATGATAATTCCTGTTTTTTTTTTTAACAGATAAAAATAGTCGTAAAAAATTTGTTATTTTTTGCTCAAACTTGCTGAACTATTCAGACATTAGGAAGTTTTTAATAATCTCTTTTAAGTTAATTTAGATCTATGTTTTAGCAGGAAATAGTTTTTTTCAGGTCTGGTAAACATTTTGCACCTTCCAGGATCCGAAAAATTGGATCGATTATTTTTGCGGATCCGGAACCTTGGATTGATTATTTTTGCGGATCCGGAACACCCATATTTTGCGGATACAACAGATTCTAAGGCTAAGCACTAGTTACAATTACACCTTGTGTTCTAAGTCCGATAAACAATGGCTCACATTTTCTTTCTGGAAGTAAAAACTTCTTCCATAGGAATGGTATCTTTGCTGTAGAAATCACCAATTTACATAAAAACCACAATAAAAATTTTAATTTCCCAGTTTGAGAACAATAATATCTCAAATAATTGAGTTAATGGCTCTATAGAGACAGGGTCGCTTTACAATTACTTGAAATCAAAACAATAAAAATAGTATTCATAAACTAAGTTTATGAATTATTTAAGTTGAGAGAAACCCCAAGAAAAAAAGAAGATTACTTGATGATCGCACAGGGCACATCAAATTGTTTCACAACAATTAAAAAATCAAATTCCCTTAAATATTCTGATAATAACCTTCTTCGACGAATTCTCAGAAATTATGCTCACATTTTCTAATAAGGTGAATTACCATTTTTTAAAAATAATTTTTTGTTTTTGTACTTTACTGTACTGTAGTGTACTGTACTGTACTGTACTGTATGGTCTGTATGATGTACTGTATAGTGTACTTTATAGTGAACTGTATAGTGTACTGTACTGTACTGTACTGTACTGTACTGAACTGTACTGTACTGTACTGTACTGTACTGTACTGTACTGTACTGTACTGTACTGTACTGTTCTGTTCTGTACTGTACTGTACTGTATGTACTGTACTCTCACCTGGTGGATAAAGTCTCTAATCTCTTAACTGCAGTCTTCATATTCTTCTTAATATTGTACATTCCTTAACAATAATAAACATTTTAACTTTGAATATTGTCAATCACATTTCTTGAAAAAACTTTATTCTTCTCGATACGAAATTTTAAGATAAACAAAAAAGAAAATTGGTTGGATAATGTTTAACTGGTTTTGTTCAGTTGAAAATGAAAAGTATCCATTTTTTTGTTAATTTATTAAAAAACATAAAAATCCAAAATATTTCAATGATGTGATGTTTTGGCGGATAGCAATAAGACGAGTATTTACTTACGACTAACTATATTTGATTTCTAAAGTTACAAAGTTAATATGAATAAATATATCTTGTGGCTATCTGAAAACTCCCACTTCCTTCATCCTTGCCGCGAAAGGTTCTTCAAATGAAAGACGACTTTCATAGCCGCCACAATGTCATGGAATATATTTTCCATTTAAAAACTGTGCAGAAGGGGCCGGAGAGGATTAATTTATTAGAAATTTTGAAATAAATAGTATAAATATTCTGAGATCGAAAATAATGAAATGTAAAGGGTAGTTGAACTAGTTAAGGCTTGTTAAACTACTTCTACTGTGCCGCCGCGATTAAACCTTTATTGTAAGTAGTAGATCTTGGTGGCACTTTAAGTACCAGTAAAGTACTAGCCCTTCATCATTTATAAATTCTCAACTCTGGATTACTTAGATTCCTTGTAATCCACCTGTTTGCTAATAAAACAATTACCCTCATAATATTTGATGTCAGATTTGTAATCAGCTTGCTGACAAATAGACTTGCAGAGCAGTACATACTTCCAATACAGTATATAACTAGTCTCTTCATCTAAATAAAAATAATTAAATAATATCTTTTTTTTAATGGCGTAATATGAAGAAATTTCTACGCATTTTGATCCTATTAAGGAATTTAAAGCTTGATTTTAGGCCTTTAATAATTCTAATCAAATGCAAACAATTAATATCAAAATTGTAGGGATTAAAGTAAACCAAAAATCAAACGGTAAATTTTCATAAATTTAAACTAACAAATTGATTGAAAATAAATTCATTAGTGTCCAATTTCATTTTATTTTAGAAAATTCGAACACAAATTATGCGTGCAGCCAAAAAATTGGAAGATTTGAACCAAAAATGAAGACAGGGACACCCCAACCCCTCATCAAATAGGACATCTCCACCATCCCCTTTTGACCAGAATTTTCAGTTATTTGTAAGCAATTTCATTGACGTAAAAATTAACAATAATAATATAAGATTTATGTCGTTAGCATCGCTATTTTTTTTTAACCCTTTGATTAATTAAATATTAAAACCTAATCTGACGTCCTCTGCCATTGCTTTCACCCAGACCTTACTGCTACTCTCACACAGATTCTTCAACTTAAACTTAGAGATATCACCGGTCTTCGCCTGGCTCTAGATAAATAACATGTCAATATCATGTCAATAACATGTCAATATTATGTCAGTATCATGTAAATATGTCAATATCATGTCAATAACATGTCAACATCATGTCAATAACATGTCAATATTAAGTCAATATCATGTCAATATGTCAATATCATGTTGAAATAACATGTCTATATCAATTCAATAACATGTCAATATCACGTCAATAACATGTCAATATCATGTCAATATCATGTCAATATCATGTCAAGATCATGTCAATAACATGTCAATAACATGTCAATATCATGTCAATATCATATCAATAACATGTCACTAACATGTCAATAACATGTCAATAACATGTCAATAACATGTCAATAACATGTCAATATCATGACAATATGTCAATATCATGTCAATATCATGTCAAAACATGTCAATATCAAGTATCAGTTATCTGAAAATCTTGGTCGGGATAGTAAGTTTAGGGACTTTTAAATTTGAGGATCAATTAAATTAAATAGTCTGCATAAAAAGGAAATCAATGCTTTATCCCGAGCTTGAGTTTTGAAGTATGATTTGTCGCCGCCGGGAGTCATTAATTCACTTTTTTTCATATCCAACAAGGCTTGATTATTCAAATCAATCGATCAATCAATCAAGTTAGAAAAAAAAAATGGCAAAAAATCTGATGTTTTTCACTTAAAGGTAATCAAGAAAAGTCAGAGAAGGAAATCACTAATTTTACATGTTAACTATGGTAGAATCGTTGTAATTCTTGACAGAAAGTTTAACTTTAAATCGCTTATTGTAAATCCTTAATTTAATTAGATCCTTACTGGTACATACCAAAATTGTCATAATGCATAAAATTTAAATACTAAAATTGTCCAAGGGTAACTGAAAGATTACGTAAAATATTCCAAATATTTTTGTCACATGAAAGACGCTGCAAGTCAAATTGAATTAGACTTTAAAGGACTTGCATATTAATAATAGAGATTGCATTCCCGATTAGTCTTGATCTGGGCAACAAAGAAAAATGTCGTTCTTTATCTATTTAAAAAGTACATTCCATCTGCAGCATATATCCGCAAGTCACTTTTACAGAGAAACATTAAATTGTCAATTTTATCCTGCAAACATTTTATCTCCGACAAACTGATGGCGAACATATAAAATCCCGAATTAATTACCCGCCATTTTCGCCATCGGCACAAATATTTAAATAATTCCTGTGGAAAAAACATGTATAACTATATAATTATTTTAACAAAGTTAGGTTCAATATGTACCAGTGTGAATCTTACATGAAAACACTTTGAACTAGGCAGTGCTAAGGATCAATTTGTATAGTGTACTGTACTGTACTGTAATATGTACCAGTGTGAATCTTACATGAAAACACTTTGAACTAGGCAGTGCTAAGGATCAATTTAATTTTTAAAAAAATGGATTCGGATTTGTTTCGCTTATTTTTATGCTTGAACTTGATGAACCATTCAGAGATCAGGAAATTTTTATAATCTCTTTTTATTCAATAATTCAGATTTGGGATTGGTGAGTTATAAAAATGTTTTCCTAAGTTTTTAATTGATATTTTGCCCCATAGATACCTTTATGGCTAATTCTAGCAGGCTAAATATTCAAAGAAAACAATGGGCAAACTAATGTGAAACAATGTAACTTAATTAAATATATTCTGTACATAACTTATCCCACTGACAAAAAATGAAATACAAGATTTCTCACAATATGCAACGGGGTGGATTTTTAAAAATCAATAATTTTCCAAATACTTCTAAAACATACAAAAAAAATCTCAAAATGTCGATAATTTCAATCTTAAACCTGGAGATCCTCCAGGCTTTTAAACTTCAATTTACCCTCCATCTTACATTTTTATAATTCTGAAATAATTCTGATAAAAAATCACATTATAGCTATTCAATATCCATACATTCAGATTTTAAGCATCTAGAATTAAACTATAACAGCATCTAACAGCGGTGACTTGATCTTGTTGGAAGAGTTCTCGAATCTTGTCTTGATTTTGTTCTGCGGTAGAAACAGATCTCCTTTCGTAAATGGGATTAAATAAAGGCAGCGGCCAATCTGCGTTACTCGTCAATGCTGCAATGAATTGTAAGACAGAGAGAAAGCCAGGTCAGACCGCGGCGCTCAGCCCCTAGCCAGTCATAGCCGCAGCGCGCGGCCAAGAAAGTGTCTAAACCTAACCTTACCCTAAAATATATACTAATCTATCTCTTATAATTTAATGCGGCATTCACGTGTATAATGTATCGAGTTTGGCAGCTACCTAAAATAAACTGTGAATGTCGACAATTTATTATCTTCAGAAGAACTTAGACCTACACGGGAAAAAAGCTAGCAAAAACGGAAGTTTATTTCCTTGCCCTCTCCTCCCCCAATTTTGTTTGAGGACATCAAATGAGTTTAAGAGGAAAATAGTCAAAAATAATTTAACTCGAAATGCATTAATATACAAAAAGCAATAACTAACTAAATTTCACGACTCAATTTTGTTGCACACCTTTAAGACTTGGCAAAAAAATCAAAAACAATATTATTAAAAAAAAAACTTTTGAACACAAACAATTAAGTCGGACAGTTCTTGAAAGAAAATGTTATATTAGGTAAACAACAAAATACTTCTGTCATTTATTCATAAAAAATTCACAAATGCTTGACCTTTACATATATATAAAGCATATTCACTAGTCACGAGAAGAAAATATTAAACGAATAAAACATTTGTTAGGGACAAACTCGCTAAATAATTATATCATATCACATAAATAATTAAGGGGGGGGGGGCAATCCAATTACCCGTCACCAAAACTTAGTTCAAGCGGCCATTTAAGATTAAACTATCCGATTAAATGAGTGTGAAAATGTTGAAAGTAGATTGGATATTATTGCCTTTATATTTCCAACTTTCAGAAGGTTTCCGTCATCTTCACGGAAACTTCTTTTTCCAACATTTTTAGCATAATTAAATACAATTCATTCGCGACACAACACTGTTTAAAATCTTAGTGTTTCAGAACTTGGAAGGCTTGGACCGTTCACGGAAAAAAACTAAATCCGGTTCTCTAATTGGCCGGACACAACAATTCTGACCAATCACAAACATGAATTGAGTTTTCATATTTCCGACAGGAAGCCAATCTAAAACCGAATGAGATATTTTCAAGGAAACTGATTTGACAATATTAGTAAACAGTAAATAAGTAAACATGAAATGAGTGAGTAAGAATTGTTGACAAATACATCCTGTTTAGACGTACTGCCACAATCGCGGGTAAATAAACAGCTACATAGGAAGATAATATAAATACTAAAATATTACTATTTACAAAAATATGTTCAATGTCAAAGATCGGAAAAAATTCAAATAATTCCTTTTTTTGACATTTCAGACGATATTGAAAATTTCACCAATTTCTGAAATTTTGAATGAGAATAATAATCCTACGACCGTTCTGACGAGTTTCTCTCTAGGTCAAATAATATCAGTTTGTTGAAAAAAAAGTATTTTAAACTAATTTAATGTGATTTCAAAAAATCTAAGACCATCGCAAGCTTGAAATTGAAACTTTCAGATCAATTTAAACTCGAGAACAATTAAATCAAATTCAAATTAAATTTGGAACACCGAGAATTGAAAACTGAATCCTTCCAGTCGTGTACTGTGTGAATTGTGTACATATAACGTACATAACTGGTTGTGTACTATGATTATGTACTAAACTACTCCGGGAAAACATCGGTCCTCTCTCTCTCGTTCAGACCAGCCTTCAAAAAAGTAACCTTAAGTTAAACGTATATCTTTAATCTGTTCAGAACGAGCTCAGTCGGTTCTTTATCGACCATGGTGTTTTCTTATAATTTGTCGGACACTGCTGAACCCCTTTCTGTCCCAGAGCCCGCGATTTAAAGCTTCGGCTCGAATCTTAATTTTTTAGACCCATTGGCTTGACTTAGGGTGTCAGACCCAATAAAAATAAAACAGCCCTTGGTTGGTTTTAGTGGAGAATTAGTCTCAATGTTGAGTCTTATTATAATAAAATCCCTCGAATCCGCCAATTCCAACTATGAAAATCCGCCAAATACGATACTAAACAGAAACTCAACTCTGTGAAAAATCAGTTTCATCTTGAATCCGAAAGGTCGAGTCTTAAATTAGTCTCAATGACAGCTTATTTTCCCGAATTTTTAATCGCGGGCTCAGATTTCCTTATTATATCTTGTATAGTTCCCTTGTATCACCGAATTAAATTTAATCCTTTGATAACAGTTGATGTTAAACAGTTAAACATTTTAAAATCAAGTTCTATGTAGCTGAGTTATATATCAATCAAAAATTTTAGCCTCAAGATCAGTAAAAAATTTGAGCGAAATAATGTTGTAAAAATAACTTCAAGAAGTACCCCCCCCCCTCATATTACCAAACAACCAAAAAATGTAATGTAACACTTGATGTTTATTGATTGCTAAATGCAGTTTTTCTATATTTTTTAGTTTGTTATGTTTGGAGATATACCTTAGAAAAAGGGGTTTATGTCAGTCTGCCCACTCTCCGGCCATCCACCAGATCCTCCATTCATCTATTCGTTTGTACATTAATAATTTGTTAATTTATTCACTCACTTATTCATTCATTAATAATTATCTATTTATTATCTATGAATTATCTATTCATCTTTTCTTATTTATTATTTAATTATTCATTTATTTATTCATTTATTTTTTCATTTAATCCTTCATTTAATTATTCATTTAATTATTCATTTAATTATTCATATAATTATTTTTTCATTAATTTCTCTATTCATGTATCTATTAATTATCTAATAATTCCTTATTCATCCTTCTATTATTTATTCATTCATTCATCATTCATTCATTATCACTTCGTCTTTTCTTCATTTATATATTAATCATTTGGTAATTTAATCATTTATTTATTCATTTGTACATTAATAATTTGTTAATTTATTCACTCACTTATTAATTCATTTATAATTATCAATTTATTATCTATGAATTTTCTATTCATCCTTTCTTATCATAATTTATTCATCTTTTTATTTATTTATCTATAAATAATAAATTCGTCTATTCATTCTCGTATTATGTTAATATCCTTTTATTCATTCATTTCATATATTGACTTATCTATTAATGTAATCACTATTAATTACAGAGAACTGGCCGTCGACAAAGTTAACAATGAAATCGGTTAAACAAACTGGTGTTCATTGGTAGTTTGATATAGTGAATAATTCTGACAATTACGTCAATTGCTTCATTAGCCGAAATCCGAGTCACTTTTATAGAGAACCCACGATTTAAAATAAGTTCTCATTATTTCTTCATCAATCAAATCTTTTAATATCACCTTGTTGAATCGGACATACTATGGAGGGTCACTTAAAACTACGTCTATAATCACAATTTTATCTACCTGTGGTTGTCCGCCTGTTCTCAGCTGATTAATGGTGGGTCGGGGGGCTGCTGCCGCCTAAAAAATCAAATATTTTGAAAGCTTTCATTAAAAAAAAGAAATAATTAATTCTATCTGTCCCTGATCATGCATTGAGTAAAAAATGAGCAAGCAGCTTCAAATATTGCCATGCAAGCGGACATGCCAAGAAATATCTACACCAGGGAACAGCTAAATATTGCAGCCTTCTCAAATTTTGGGAGGAGACCTGATTTATATTTAATTATTTTTGTCATGCACTGCACCGGTTAAATAGAATAGGAGGCAGCTTCAAATATTGCCTGCATGGCGGAGGCCAAGCAATATCTACACCAGGAAGCAGTTTAAGTATTGCAGTCTTCTCAAATTTTGGGAGGAATTCTGATGTACATATTTCTTGGCATAAAAAGTTTTGAGAAGTATCAATTTGATTAAGTGTAAAAAAATACAATTTGCTGAATCATTTAAGCGATAAAGTAAACTTTCATGTAAATTACATCTGCATTACGTTAAAAATGAAGACAATCATTGTTTGCGCGTTATAGTTTTCCTATTTCATTGTAGGGTACAGAGAATGAAATTAAATACTTAGTGACTCAAAAAACATGATTTCTAAGAGAAGACTGTTACCAGTCTTTTGTGGTATGGAGTACGTATGTAGAAAGAATTTAGGTCTTGCATTCGGTCCAATTATAAATTTTAAATTACTACATAAGCAACCAAAAAGCTATCAGAAATACTATCAATCGTATGAGTAACAGCACGAGAAAAAATGTAAAGATAGAAGTTTTGATTGTTATTTGTTTTGCTTTTGTAGTAATTTAAATTAACAAAACGTAAAGGGTAGGAAGACATCTTTAAATCAGAAAATGTATTTAAAAAAAGTTTTTGAATGGAAAATTAATTTCAAAAGAAAAGTTAAAATACGAAACTTTTTTTCAGATTTTTATTGTTTAAAAGTTAACTTAATTAGTTCAGTATTATATTTTTAAACTGCAACAATACGATTATTCCAAACCCCCGCCCGTTCTAAGTAAAATGATAATGAATTGTACAATCTCATTTTTCAGATAATAAAAATATTATGTTGACCTCGTATTCGAATTAAATGCAAAGTATCAATTCAGTAATTAAAGGTGTAGAGTAATTTTCTAATCTTTTCCAAAAACTGCAACGTTCAGTTCTTAAAGCTTCATTTATTAACAACGCAAGATTCTTAAAATCTCCGTTTTGTTAATATAAAAAATCTCCGTTTTGTTAATATAAAAAATCTGCGTTATGTTAATATAGAAAATCTCCGTTTTGTTAATTTAAAAAATCTCCGTTTGCTAATATAAAAAATCTCCGCTTGTTAATATAAAAATCTCCATTTGTTAATATAAAAAATCTCCGCTTGTTAATACAAAAAATCTCCGTTTTGTTAATATAAAAAATCTCCGTTTGTTAATATAAAAAATCACCGTTTGTTAATAAAAAAATCTCCGTTTTGTTAATATAAAAAATCTCCGTTTTGATAATTTAAAAAATCTGCTTTTTGTTAATTAAGAAAATCTCAGTTTTGTTAATAAAAAAAACACATTTCAAATAAGATCTTTTGGACCAATTATTGATATTATGCAAAGCAAAGCAAAATGTTAGTGATAAAAACATGCACAATTTTCATGCAACACTTTTAAGCATGGTTAATTTGTATTTTAAGTGTGACGAGTATTTTAATTTATTCACTTTTTTATTTCAAACTTAGATATAACGGTTATTTTTTCCATGTGTTACATTTTGTGATTGGGTTCAGAAACAGACAAAAATTTTAAAACCAACCTCAACTTTCAAATTTATTCTTTTCCCAGAGTTCAGTGTTATAATGCAATAGTTTATAGAAAAATGTCTTAAAACATCAGTCCCCCGTCTCCCTCCATGAAAATGGAAATTAACCACATTTAATTTTCACAAAAAAATGTTTATTCGAGGAGTACATCATTTAAGGTTAATTAGAAAGTCCCATTTTTTTCTTGATAAAATAATTGTTTGACCAATTTAATGTAATCCACCAGATTTCTGAATTGGACAATTTGAAATATTAAAGTCTGAGGTCTTTCATTTATTTTCAGTCATTCAAGGGTTATATATTTATTAGAAAAACCCCTCCTAACATGCTAATTTTGAGGGAAATTGATTAAATTTTAAGTTTGTGTGTGTGTGTGTGGGGGGGGGGGTTTGGTCTTACATATGTGGGGGGAAAAGGCAGCTTTTTAACACAATGCAGGATGACCCAGAATTTTCAACTTTGAGCGCAAAGTTAATTCAATACATCTCAATGGCCCCATTTTCTTAAACATTTCGTTTAAATCAACTGATCAAATCTACCACCCAGAAATTTTAAAGCAGATTAAAAAATAAAAACAAAAATTTTAAGGGACTGATCACCTATTAGAAAATACACTTTATTACCAACTTCTGGAATTAAGTATAACGCTCAAAAATGTTCATAAGGGCCGGAATAATCAATACAATATGTCAAAATAATTATTGCGCCAAAAAAACGCGATGGTTCTGTGGATTTTCTCAGAGATGAACAATTCCATTAAACCAAAAATACCTGAAAAGGATTTGGCTGTTCTCCAGCCTAAAATTATTATTGTTATTTTAATGAATACTAGCTAAATTATTTTTAGCATTTAATGATCTAACTATTGGACAATCTATTTTAAAAATGATAATCCGAGTTTTTATGTTCTTACACTAAGAAATACATATCTCTTGAAAAACATTACTCTATTGATTACTTTTACTGTTGTAGTTTTAGTCCATTTTTAATCGATTTTAAAATGTTAATAAAGTTGATGAAAATCTGAAAGATTTTGGAACAAACGAGTTCCGAGTCTGTTATGAGTTCAACAGAATGGGGACTAGATTTGGTGCTCATTCTTGTTACCGTGAAATACAATATTTTAACTAAATAACTATGATTCTTTCAATATTTATGTTAAATGGATTTCAGGCTTTAGTATGTAGACAAAATGTAGTAACATTTGACGTTATATTGAAAGTTTCTATTTGTTAAAAAAAATATTTTCATATCTATACAGTGCTCCCAATATCAAATGTGCATGTAAAAGTACATTAATGCAATCAGTAACAGGGGTGTATATTTAGAAGTATTTAATATCTATATAAGCTTTTTTTTAATCAATTATGTGCTCCCAACCAAAAAAATTTGTGCAAATTAGTGAATTTTTGGACATTTTTTCAACACTATATACCCCTGCAGAAAGCAACTAAAAAAATCGATGAAGAATAAAACACCAAACAGTCCTAAATTTCTACGAACGTTATTTCTAAAAACGAAAAAAAAATTAAGATTCTAGAAAAAAGTAAACAATAACTATTTAAAGAAAAACCAATTTCCTTCAAATAAGTGCGTTTTTACACTAGACAATAGACATCTCGAATGAATTCGATTTTAAGGAAATTGGTTTTTGGGGGAAATACTTAAGAAGTTCTAAAAACACAGAATACGCACTATACTTACACAATATATTCATTACCTTTTATATTAATCTTCAAATAACAAGATTGAAAATGGTTTCAAGGACCATAACCTTTTTGTTTTAATTGAACTGACATTTTTTCTTCTTTTTAAAACTGTGTGACCCAAACTTAATGTATTTCTTTTAAGAATCAGTCGTTTTTTTCATTATTCAAAAAATAAATATTATATATTTCCCACTGAATTGTTCAATTTAATAATGGTAAGACCTCCCAACTAAATTGATTGATGGACAGTGGACACCTAACGCGAGATCGAATGTCAAGAATAGCGAGAAGTATTCATTAAAAAAATTGCTAGGGTCTCTAGCCCTCTGATGTGTCCGATTTACAACAGTTCCCTTAACACCTTTTGACTAATAAGGTTTGTCGGACCAAACTTTCTTAAAGGGACAAAAAATATGTATTTTCCATGAAGTCTCCTTATGTTCAATTTTCAGTAATTTCAGGGGACACAAGTAACGGATCAGCTCTGAACGCATCGTACATCGGGCTTTACAGGAATTCAAGAGATTCACACACGGAGATCTCTGTACTCAATAAAAAGTCAAAGGCTAAAAGAGTACTGCTGTAAATCATGCATTCATTATTTACATGGAAATTTAACCCCACCTGGAAAGGGTTTGGTTGCTCGGCAAATGGGTTTCTTGCTAAAGCCGCAGGTTTGGCCTGAAAAAAACATATAATTCAGCTATACTTAAAACACATATTTTTAACAAACTTAAACTACACCATTAATAATATATGTATGAAGTGCTTAAGATCCGGATCCATTGGATCCGCAATATTTTGGCTTCCTGGATCCGGATCCAGATCAGCGAAAATATGCAGATCCATGGATTCGAATCTAAGGGGCAAAATATCAACCAAAAAATGAAGAAAAAAAATGTTTATTCTCAACCCCAAATCTGAACTATTGTAAAAAGATATTGTAAAAATTTCCTGATTTTTGAATGGTTCATCAAGTTTTAGCATAAAAATAAGTGAAAAAATAAGACAACAAATTTGAAAATTCTGCGTTGTTAAAATAATTCAGAAAACTATAAAGAAATAACCTGGATCCGGATCCATTTTTTTCCAGTGCAGATCCAGAACCCGGATCCGCATAAAAATTAAATGGATCCTAAGCACTGTAAAATGTATGTATATCTAAGTTTGAATAAATCTTTAAAGTAATATCTCAAAATAATAAAGCTCTTCGCTCATATTTATTTATATGCATGTTAGCTATAGCTGGTCAAACGGCTTGACCAAATAGGCTGAAATTTTTTGAGGGAACACGAGGGTGCCCTGGGTGTAACAAAAGGTAAAAATTTTTTTTTTCCAAATATAGAATTTTTTACCATTAATATTTTTTTAAGTTTTAAAATTCCACGGGCAACGCCAGGAACTTCAGCTAGTTATTAATATATTAATATACAATTCTCAAAAAACAACAAAAAAAAAAGAGATAAAAAGCTTTGGTAGACAACGATTAAAGTTATTTATCGTTTGATTCCCACTCACTTAAAATTTCCCTCTCTCAGTTCTATTACTTATTAGTAAAGTGGGATTTATTTTTTGAACCAATTAACTATCCAACCTGAATTTTATGCATTAATGCTCAAATATGTATAAATATTTCTAGACCAGTTCAGTTTTTACAATTTAATAGTTAATTAACTTGACTTAATTGTCTAGATTGACTTGATTCAAAAAGTTTGTTTAATAACCTTGACTATATTATCAAAATTGACCAGATTCCAATAAATTGTTTGATTAACATGACTAAATTGTCCAGAAAAACTCAATTCAAAAAGTTTGTTTAATTACATTAACTGAATTGTCTAGATTGACCACTTGACCAAATTGTCTAGATTAACTAGATTCGAATAGTTTGTTTAATTACCTTGACTAAATTGTCTAAGTTGACCAGATTCCAATAGTTTGTTTAATAACCTTGACTAAATTGTCTAGATTGACCAGATTCGAATAGTTTGTTTAATTACCTTGACTAAATTGTCTAGATTGACTAGATTCGAATAGTTTGTTTAATTACCTTGACTAAATTGTCTAGATTGACTAGACTCGAATAGTTTGTTTAATTACCTTGACTAAATTGTCTAGATTGACTAGACTCGAATAGTTTGTTTAATTTCCTTGACTAAATTGTCTAGATTCGAATAGTTTGTTTAATTACCTTGACTAAATTGTCTAGATTGACTAGATTCGAATGTTCACCAAGTAAACTTTCAACTCCTTTCTTCGGTTTAGCTCCAGTGTACATTCCAGATCCATTCTGAAATTTAAAAAATATCATGTGAGAGTTGAATAAGTTAAAATGACACCAGCATTCACTAGTCGTGCAATAAAGACGACATTTTTGTTGTTTTGGATCAATGAAAAATGGCTTTTATACTGTGCAAAACACCCCATCTAAAAAAGACACAAAAATATGAAAGGGGTTTAAAAAGCAATAAGTACATATTTCAATATCTCAACTATTATTTTCCTAAAATACCCCCAAAAGACATTATTCAAAATTTTTTTTAACCCTAAGGGGCATGGTGGTAAATAATGGGAAAAACCCAAAAAAAAATCGGGGGAAATACTTCTTTAATCGATTAATTTTAACCCCTTTAATTAAGGATCTACCTGCTGTGTGGAAAGTAAATCTATTCCTCCTCCCATTGGATCTAAACCAGCGAGGTCCCAAGGGTTTCCAGCTGGAACATTTAAACTGTTATTTATGTAAATGTATCATTTACTCTCAGACAAATTTCCATTGATTCTAATTTGTCTGAGAGTAAATGACATTCCTTTTTAAAGAGGGGATTCAATGATAAACCCGAGGGTTTGCGGATTTTGCGGATTTTCAAAGTATCTTTCAATGAAAATATCCCGGCGGGATTAAATGAAAATTGTTGCATACCAAAAAACCAGCTTTTTATAAAGGAATCTGTAATCAGTATATTGCATTGCAAAACCCTTCTATTACATATCTTAAACTACAAAAAAAATCTTCAAGACAACTATAGCTTAATAACTAAAACAATAATTTAAAAAAGTAAACAATTAATAATAAACATTCATTTAACAAAAATAAAATAAAAAAATTAGGATCTTAAAACAATATGTATAAAATCTACCTACAACATTTAAAACCTTTTTGATACATTTTTTCCGTAAAAAAGGAAAACTACGGGTTTTATCCACCGTACATTCGATTATAAAATATTTTTAAATGTTTTGTAAAAGGTGGACAAATTTAGCTACATTTACACGTTACAAAAAAACATAAAATAAGCTTCGAAGTAAATAAATAAACAAACTTAAAGCACAACTAACACATAAACTAAATCTACACCCATTCAAGATTAAGGCATGTCTAAAAAAACCACTATTTTAAAACCTTTTAGTCATCATATAAAAACATGAAATACAAAGTTGTGTATTTTAAAAAAAATTGTAGCGCGATTACACTACCCCCTGTCTCCCTCATGCATAAGGCTGTCAATAAAATCGCGTAGAAGGGGTTAATATAATCGCGCCACATTTCATGTTGCTTTCCAGTGATGACAATCAAAGGGTTTGACTAAGCTAATTTGTGCTTTTGAGCCATACTGTAAACTTGATTCTCACTGACGCTAAAACCAGCTGAGTTGGCAGACAGTTTAAAAAGTAAGAGTTTATATCTTTTCAATGGAAATGTTTGCATCGAAAATACCAAATCCTGTTTGCACCAGCAAAAAATACAGAAGCAAATTAGAATTAAAATAACAAAGATAATTAAAAAAGGCGATCTTTAATTTTTTCCCCAAAAATGTTATTGAGTATCACAAGTCGTATGTGTGTGATATGTAATAAAAAACCAATGGTTCGCTTAAAACTTTTTTTAAATTTTAAATTGTTAAAAGAAAAAAGACTGGTGAAAAATGTATTTGTGCATTTTTATGAAAAAGTGTTCCGTAGTTTCCTGTTTCACCCGTCTCTTTTATTACATTTCAATCCTTACTTTTCATAAAATTTACAAAAGCAAGTGGGACTTACAACATTTAACATCACACTTAATAAGAGGGAATATATATTTTTTTCATAAATTGTTTTCGGAGCTTTATTATCCTCAAAAATCAATCAAAAGTTTAAAAGAAAATTCCTTAAATAGAAAAATAAGTTGGAAGAAAAATATAATTTTTTAAGAGAGGGGAACAAGGGGATTTAGCTAGAAAATATATATCCCCAAACATAAACTAGAAACTGCCCACTAATGACCGCCTACACTAACTAAGGACCACCCACACTAACAAGGACCGCCCACTAAGGACCGCCCACACTAACAGTCTCCACCCCCACCTTGACTGATTTTGGAAGGGCTGTGAGCCTGAGATCCATTAAACCCAACTCCAGTCAACAATTCCAAATTTCCGCCTAATTTTTTTTCATAATTTGTGTATTTTAAACTATTCAATACAAGTTTATTCACAATCCAAAGTTTTGTGTTTTTATTATTTTTGTTTTAAATATTGATTAATAATGAACTAGGTAGGAAGCCATACATTACTGATATAAAATTAATATTTTGATAAGCATTTCAAGTGCAATATATTTGAACCCGTATATTAGTATACGAATGAACATAGAAATGAAGAAAAGATTGAAAGAATGAACTTTAAAAAATAAGAGTATAATGACCTGGTTGTGAGAATATATCCTGTTTTGCTGGAGATGTATTGTTAGAACCTCCCCAAGGTTGGGGGGAGGCGGTGGGAGCAGGGCCTCCCCATGGCTGGGGGGACACTGAAGGGGCAGGGGCACCCCAAGGATCAGCCAAAACTAAAATTTACGTCATTACAGCTCTGATCTTTTAATAATTCCGTAAGAGGGATAAATAAACAAAGATCTGAAACCTACCCTGTGGCTGGGGGGCGGGGGCAGGTGCTCCCCAGGGATCCTGGTTTACACCTCTAGAAACAGGAGCATCTAAAACTGACAAAGCAGCAGGAGCGTCTAGAGCTGGAGCTCCTCCGCCCCAAGGATCCGCCGGAACTGCAGCAGAAGCTCCGCCCCAGGGATCATTTGCTCCGCCGCCTTGAGGAGACCAAGGATCCCTAGAAGCGGCTGTCCGCTGTGGTGGGGCTGGATTTCCGAAGTTAAGATCTACCAGGTCGTCTAGTGCATTTTTCTTCTCATTCTAGAAAATAGAAAATTATATTTGTTGTAATATTTTCATCAGAAATACATATTCTTTCTCCCCCCCCCTCACACATCAGAGAGGGGAGGGGGAGGAGGCTAGAGGGAAGGGGAGGAGGCTAGAGGGAGTGGGAGGAGGCTAGAGGGAAGGGGAGGAGGGAGACTGGAGGGAATGGAAGGGTTAAAAAAAGGTGAAAGATTATACCCCTGGAACCTTGTCCGCCTCCTCCTTGCTCTTCTGAATAGCGAGAACCAGCCTCATGTCATCACTCTTCTTCTTAGATTCCTCGGTCTCAGCCTCCTCTCTAAATAGAGGATGGTAATCGAATCTGGACATTTTTAAATTTCAAGTTTTTTGGAGTGAGTCGAATTTTGAACCAAGTTTAGGCCCTAAAGGGAAATTGAAATCCTAAACCTAACCATTAGAAAAAATTAAAATATTTAGAAGGAACAAAAATGGCTAGCTTGATTTATTTTAAGGAAAAAAATAAAAAGGCATTAGTAAGATAAAACACAAAAATATCTTAAAAATATTTTAATATTGGAAACCTGAATATGTTTAAACGGTACCTTGACATAGCTAGAGCCAGCTGAAGCTGTAGTTCCTCCTCGCCACTTGTCTGAGGCCTAAGGTCATCTAGTTGGTGGCTACTAGTATAAGGTAGAGGGTCAGTTCATTATACAGAACTTTTAATTGTCCCAACCACCGAAACTGGCGCCACAAAGAATGAGATAAAAACAAAACAAAAAAATGAAAAGTAATAGAACTAAAGAGAGAAACTAGTTTTATTGTAAACAAATAACAAAGATAGAAGACAGGTGTTTGTTTACAATTACATTAAAATAAAACAAGTTCTTGAGATACGTCATAATAGTATGTAAAAAATTCATATTCGGAACTCTTTAGTTATATTACTTCTGTCTTTTCAGCACAATTTGTGATTTAAAAAAAAACGGTTTAAAGCAGATCGAATATACATGCAATATATAAAATTATATATTGCTATTGTATTTAGTTCGATCGAATATACATGCAATATATAAAATTATATATTGCTATTGTATTTAGTTCGATCGAATATACATGCAATATATAAAATTATATATTGCTATTGTATTTAGTTCGATCGCCTTTACCATCAATTATTTAAAATACAACAAAATAAATATTCTGATATAATTTCTAATATCTAAAACACATAAAAAAAACATCCACTATTCTAGTGTTTTAAGGCTGTATAACTTTAAAAGACCAAAAAAAAACATGGTATATTTTAGTTTACATATTTCACAAGAATGATAAATCCCGTAAAAACTTCAAGTTGAAGGGGCCGACTGTTGAACAGGAATTTTTCGTTTAAAAATACAAAAGGGACAGTATACGTAATTTCAGTTGAATCTCAGCGTATCCGACATGAGATAATCTTTATTTGCTGAATCCAGAAGAGTACATTTTATCATTTTAATAAAGTGAAGTTTCACCACTTTCACCAAGGTGCAAGATAAATTTTAATGAAAAAAGTGCATTTCACCAAATACGACTATTCCAGAGCTAGTCAGTCAAAAGTAAATACGGAGAATGCATTATGCATTTTCAGTTATTCTTGAGACTTATGGGGATACTGTATCACAAATTTTTCATTTTCCCAAAAAACTAACATTTAGGAATAAAAATATATAGGTGAGAGATATTCAAGAAAATATTTATAATTACGAAATGTATATGATCAGGGACCAATAAGAAATTAAAGTTATCTCAATGAGTGTAGGTGTCAATCTGAACTGAATAGGACTGTTCAATTCTGTTACTTGTTTTTAAATCAATGTAAACCCAACAATATCTGCATGGTAAAAAAATTAATTTTCAAAACTTCTTTGAAAGGGGGAATAATTGTAAGAACTGAAACTGTGCTCAATCTCTAATTTTCAACTTCCTATATCTTTGCAAACTAAAGGTGTAAATCTTTGTTAATTCTAATCTAACTGTCTGATCTTGCAGACTTCTTAGTTTGATAAATTTAGCAAAGATATACGAGAAAATTTCAGTATGTGAAGAGAGAAATCTTTTCTTTAGGACCAATTGGTTGGACCTGCACAAGTGGACTAGTACAGTGTACAGTGTACAGTTGGACTTGTACAGTGTACAGTTGGACTTGTACAGTGTACAGTTGGACTTGTACAGTGTACAGTTGGACTTGTACAGTGTACAGTTGGACTTGTAGTTTACAATTGGACTTGTACAGTGTACTGTTGGATCTGTACCCAAAACAATTTATAGTTTGACCAACCTGGCGAGTTCTATTTCTGATCTAGGAATATCGTCTCGATGATGGTCCATTGGAGAGTGCATATCTCCCATAAATGCTGTATCAGACCCAATACCTTGAAAAATGTATAAAAAAAAATTTCTAAAAAACAAAGATTCTTCTAATTTGCGTTATAATAATGATACATCTCTAAACATTATTATACTTTACTTGAATACTTTTTGCTTAACAAAATCCTTAATTTCCCCCAATTAATTTTTAAAAACCCCCGGGCATAAAACAAGGGGGAAATCTTTCCCCTGGTAGGATATTATCTACCTGCAGTAGACTGCGCAAATCTTTCTTTGGCTTTAAGAGCACGAACTCTTTCATTCTTCAATCTTTCATCATCCTGAAATCCAAAAAATCAAGATTTTTGGAGATGTCCTGTTTGACCTCGATCTTGGCCATGACCTTATACCATAACCTCAATCTAAGCCTCTTTTGACCTTAACATATTGACAGAAATCACGCAAATACACTTTCTTCAAAAATCGTTGATCACACCTTGACCTAAATTTGATGTAAGAAGTGTAAAATACACAGTACATAGGACAGACAACAAGATCTTTAGATGAAAGAGTGAGAGAACATATTGGTTACATTAGAAATCTCCATACAAACCAGCATACAGGAGAACATTCTAACCTTCCTGGACATAAACTCTACCATCTAAAAATTAGCGTACTGGGGAAAGTTTGGGGAAGTTTACTTGAAGTACGAGAATCTTAATACATCAGAGATTTTATGACTAAACTCAGAGGAATGAACAGAAAAAAATAGTTTTAATTAATTGTTAACTGTAATTCAGTACGTTTTTAAAAAAAGAGTTTTTTATGTCCAATTCTTTAAAAGGTTTAAATACCCCTACTTAAACAAGCCGACCCCCCTCCCCCGCCCCCTGATTTACGTTAAAGTTCCTTAATTAGATCGACCCCCACCACCACTTTATACTCGTACATATTAACAGTTTGTTTTTAATCTTCATGATAGAAACAATCTCAAGGAATAATAATTGTCTTATAACGTTCTTTAAAAAGTCAATATTTGCAAATTATCTTTTTTTATAACATAACCTGAATTCGTTTCCATTTTGTCCATTTAAAGGTCCATTTTTTAAAATAATATTTTTCATTTGTTTATTTTCTTGTGGTTTTTAAACATTTTTTACTATCGATTGTAATGGTTACTATATCGTTAGATTTGACGAGGTTCAACCCAGACCGAAATATATTTTCAATAAAATGTGGAACTAACACCTGCTTTATTTACTCTACACAGTACACAGGTTTTGTCCATCCCCTTCACCGAATTTTAAATTTGATATTTTATCATTTTCCTCCTATGTTAATCTATACCAGTCAACAAAAAGACTTTGACATTAAATTTGACCTTGACCCATTACCTTTAATAGGGCAACCATTGATTTTGCCTTTTCTCTTACATTTAACCCTTGATCCTGTTCATCATCAGATTAACATATATTTTAGTATGAATTTTATTTAGTAAACAATGAACCATGTAAAGTGTGTATAATTCTTAATATTAAGAAAGGTTTTAAGTGAAGTTCGATGTGTTGGAAAAAAATTCTAAAATCTACATCAAAAAGCATGTTGTTTTTACCATTTCTAGTACTTTTTAGCCAAAATTTCATTTTTCCTCTAAAAATATTTTATAATATTTACTGTGCTTTAAATGTTACGTTAGACTTTTTCCAGGCTTTGAGTAGAATTAATGAAGCGTGACAGTTGAGTATTTATAGAATTCATGAAAAACTTGAATTTCCAGAAACTGTTTATCTAACGTAACAGTGCTTTATTTGAAAATTTCAACTATCCTGTATTTCGATAAAATGTTTTATATTTGTTAATTTCCTTGTTTTCTTCTATAAACTGAAAATCTTTTAGAGTTTGAATAGAGAACAGATTTTCTTTACATTGCTGGGCAACCTAGATATATATATACTATATTTATATGTAACAAAATAAGTTTATTACTTTTGATTGTCATATTGTTTTAAGTTAAATGTCCAACCATAATGCAACCAAAAATTAATTTTTTAATAAAAAAGTTTTTGTTAGGGTGCTTTGGGCCCCCTCATCGGCTAACAATTTCAGCTTTAAATTCAAAGCTCTTAAAGTCGCCATTTTCATTCATTAACAAACAAAAGTGTTTATGGATTTATCTGTTAAAATTGGCGCATTTCCAAAAATAATAATTGTCGGCATTTTTTAATAGACAAACCACCGTTAGTCAAATAATTTACCTTCTCGCTCCCAGTTTTAATCAAATATTCCAGAAGAACTAGAGCTTTGTAAACATGTCTCCAATTCTTGCCACTGTCGTTAATCCTCTTCCAGACCATCTGCATGATCTCAGAGAATGCGATCACGTTGTAGGTCAAATCTGCTATCTCAGCCATCTGTGTGCTAGAAACAAACAATAAAATGATCTCTGTATGATCTCAGAGAATGCGATCACGTTGTAGGTCAAATCTGCTATCTCAGCCATCTGTGTGCTAGAAACAAACAATAAAATGATCTCTGTATGATCTCAGAGAATGCGATCACGTTGTAGGTCAAATCTGCTATCTCAGCCATCTGTGTGCTAGAAACAAACAATAAAATGATCTCTGTATGATCTCAGAGAATGCGATCACGTTGTAGGTCAAATCTGCTATCTCAGCCATCTGTGTGCTAGAAACAAACAATAAAATGATCTCTGTATGATCTCAGAGAATGCGATCACGTTGTAGGTCAAATCTGCTATCTCAGCCATCTGTGTGCTAGAAACAAACAATAAAATGATCTCTGTATGATCTCAGAGAATGCGATCACGTTGTAGGTCAAATCTGCTATCTCAGCCATCTGTGTGCTAGAAACAAACAATAAAATGATCTCTGTATGATCTCAGAGAATGCGATCACGTTGTAGGTCAAATCTGCTATCTCAGCCATCTGTGTGCTAGAAACAAACAATAAAATGATCTCTGTATGATCTCAGAGAATGCGATCACGTTGTAGGTCAAATCTGCTATCTCAGCCATCTGTGTGCTAGAAACAAACAATAAAATGATCTCTGTATGATCTCAGAGAATGCGATCACGTTGTAGGTCAAATCTGCTATCTCAGCCATCTGTGTGCTAGAAACAAACAATAAAATGATCTCTGTATGATCTCAGAGAATGCGATCACGTTGTAGGTCAAATCTGCTATCTCAGCCATCTGTGTGCTAGAAACAAACAATAAAATGATCTNTAAGAATTTACAATTTTTATAATATTTGAAATAAAATCAAAGAAATAAATAAAAGATACCTGGAGGGACCCCATGGATCATTGCTGGTTGCTGCCCGAACCTTAACCTACAAATGGATTGTATTATTATATTTACACAATAGATTAATTTAACTTTAAGGCTCAAAAACGTAATTAGGGGAGGGTTAATGGTTAGAGGTAACATTATTATTTTATATCAAAAGGGGAAACATAAACAATCGGACGCAAACTGAAATGTTTACCCAAAAATTCAGAAAAACAAACATTTTACAACAAATAATATTTATATAACGGGATAATTTTCAACAAAATATGTTTTTCACTGTTTACTAAGTTATTAACAAAAATATAGTAACCTGAGCGTCGGTGTAATTGTGAGCAACATTTTTTATATTTCTTCTCAATCCCGCGATACTCGTTGCGGCCATTTTAATGAACCCCCTTGAACAGTCTTTTTCAAAAACCCCTTTTGAGGTGTTCTCAGCTTAACACCAAGTTTATTGCAATCCTTCTCAAGTTTCACTTGTAAATAATAATCTCTTATCTTCAATGCGAGATTATTAAATAAAATTTTCCGATAAGAAATCTGAAAATAATTCATTCAATGTTATTTAAAAAGTTTTAGGAGAAAGATCAAAGGCATTTGGGATCCGTCCAAGTATAAGATTTTTGGACCCCCCCCCCC